GGTACATACTAGTTTGAATTCATATGAACTTTCAATTTGAAATGCCATTTTCTACGTATTTATTCATTGTTTTTTTAATTTTCTGTTATTTTTCCTGTAAAAGCAATCATCAAACGATGGCTTGATTGACGACATTAGTTTTCAATAAAAAAATTAACGGTTTGAATTAAAAATAATTAACGGACGAAACGTTGAGTACTAAAATTGGTCAAGCGAAAACTTTAATAACAAAACTAAATACAATTTTTTTTTTAAAAAAAACATTTAAGTAATATAATTAATAATATTTTTAAATCCCCTTATATATTAATTCAGAACGCGCTGAGCCTACGTGACTGCTTCTGGTGCTTCAGAATCCTATGTGGTAAAATTACATGCTTCGTTATTATGCCTGGGTAAATTTTAATTTAAATCCAAACCAAAAATAATTAGGTTCGGATTACCATAAATATGTTGATTATTTATGGTCAAGTTATATGTATTAATTGCATTTTAATATCATTCTTTATGATAACTATTGAATTGTATATATATATATTTTAAAAGTTAATAACTTTTGTATTTTTTATCAGTTTTACATATGTAATATATCAAATTAATCTTCTTTTGATGAACTTCGATTTAACATCCATATTGTATGTTTAAAAAAATAATTTATATTTATCTTTATAACAATAATAAAATTATTATTAATATTAATTAGAAATATTATTTATCAACTAATATATTTATATTTCAAGTAGTTATATGATATAAGTTATAAAAACTAATATAATATAACTCATGTAAGTCATAAATAATACATATCATTCTAAAATATATAGTAATATATTTTTTTTGTAAAAAAATAAACTAAATTTAATATAGTTTTCTCATTAATTTTTAAATTTAAGAATAGTTTTTTAACAAGCACCCGTGCAATACACGAGTGTTGTACTAGTATCATCTCTATATATAATTCCCGAATGTGCTGAGCCGAAGTGGCAGGCTCGCATGCTTCGGGATCCTATGTGTCAAAATTCCATGCTTTAGTATTTGACTTGGATAAATTTTAATTTAATTCAAATCCCAAAATAATTAGGTCCAGATTACCATAAATATGTTGATTTATTTATGAAAATTTTAGATGTATTAATTGTATTTTAATATCATTTCCTATTATAACTATTGAATTGTAAACGTGTCTTAAAAATGTTTATAACTTTTGTATTTTTTATCGGTTTTACATATATAATATATCAAATTAATCATTTTTTATGAGTTTCGATTTGACATCCATATTGTATATAATGAAATAAATAAATTATATTTATCTTTTAATAATAAAAAATATTTATTAAAACTAATTATAAAAATAAAATTATTTTTCAATTAATGTATTATGTTTAATATAGTTATATGTTATAAGTTAGAAAAATTATTATAATATAACGCAGGTAAGTCGCACACGTAACAAGTGTTATACTAAAATATATAATAACATATATTTTTTATAAAAAATATTTAAATTTTTAACTACTTTTATTTATTAATTTTAATTTTAAGAAAAAAATTTAGCCAGTGCACACGATTTAATTAAAGAAGTGAAAATTACATACATCATACATGACAGAGTTCAGATAACGACAGCATTTTGAAACGAAGAAGCCTCGTGAGCGCAAAGTTCAGATTGATTAACTGACAAAAATCTCATGAGCTGAAGTAATTGGGACTTGCACAGCGAAGATGGATGATTGGGGGGATATAAGCGCAGAGGAACTGGACGCCCTGGAAAGAGACGCCCTTAGGCAATTGGCTGAACGGAACAATTCCTCCGCCGCCGCCACAACCAGTAACAACAGGAGCTCTTCTTTTCCCGCCAACGTTCCATCTTCTTGTTCTCCAGCCAAGCCCACATTTCACACCAAGAATTTGGCGGAGCGCGATTCTTCTTCTTCTTCTTCCGCTGCTGCCATAGCAAGAAATAGTCGGGGAATTAGCCCTAAATTACCTTATCCGCCGGAATATGTGAACTCTAGTCGTTCTCCGGCCAAGGCCACCTCTCACTCTCGCCCGCCAGTGGACGATGATAAGGTGGGGGTTTTCTCATTTCTTCCTCATCTCCTTTCCCGTGCATCTCGTTTTATGGTTATGTTCATTTGGTTAATGGAAAGTGCTGTGTAATCTAAGTGGGCAAAGTTTTGTTTGTGACTCTATTCTAAAGAAATTCAGCTTTTGTGCCCTTCTTATATCTTTTTATAGTTTTAATTTCGTCACAGGGAATGTCCTTGAATAAGTTAATGTGAAGCTATTCCCATCTGATCATCTTTTTCCTTCACCACTCCCTTATTCGAAGCCAATTTGATGAGGCAAAAATGCTTTGAGTTCGTCTCTTCATTTGTTTTCTGATGGAATTGCAAAAGGCAAAAATAGGAATTAGTAATAAACTCAGAGAACCAAATATTGAAACCTTGGGGCATGTAAACCTCTTAGCTCGCGTTGTCCTTTTGATGCTTTCTGCATTAATAAATTTCTTGAAATTGTTTGGGTGTGGTCAAATACTTCATTTCTTGATTGTATTTGTACCTATTCCAGAGTAGATTCAATTTCAGAAGAGATAATCTTTCTATAACTTGCAACATTATCTTTGCTCAATTTTCCAGGCGAGAGTATTGTCTTCGTCTATAATGCCACATGCAATTGGTGAGTTACCGCTTTCAGTTTTCTACTTGTAAACCGTGCTCGTATATTTTTAACTGCATTCTTACTTTGTCTTCACCTGCACGCTGCACCCATGTGGGATATATGCTTCCTCCTAACTTAAGATGATCCTCCAAAGCAACAGCTTCAGAAAGTTGTAGTTAAATTTTTTCTACATGCCACTGGAAATATTGCTGCAAAATTTCCTTATGACAAGGTATGATTGATTATTTTCAGTGATGTAAATGTCTATTTCACCGTCATTTTTCTAATTTTTAATGTTTTCTATAAGGTACTTCTTGGAGCTTTCCACAATATTCCAAGAGCTAGTTGGAATTCAAAAGAAAGGTCTATTCATCTTTTCATCGACCGGGCATCCAACTGCATGGAATATTAAAAAAGTTGAACCTCTCAGACGGGGATATAAAAAAAATAAATAGAGAGCTTCATGTTACTTGTCTTTTAATTTTTATTTTATGGATCTTTCTTACTTTTTCTATCTATTACATACTTGCATTTTGTTATAACTAATAGAAGCTTGCTACTTTCTTTAATCTTTTGCAGGTTGTGGATGTTTCCTTTGTCATCACTGTCAATGGCAGAAAGTGTTCTCCGTGATGTCCCTAACTCTTATGTGGAGGTAGTGCTTTTCATTGGGAATCTTTCAGCTTATTTTTGTTTCATGCATACCATGAAGGTGTAAACAAATACATGTTCTTATCCATTTCCTTCTGTGATGCAACTTACTATCATGAAAAGGTAATGTGGAAAGAAATTTTGAAATATGATGATGCATGTGATTCATGGCTGTGACGATTAAGTTGTACACGTATTTCCTTTAAGTTCCAGATAGAGAATTTGGATCCTCTGGTGAGACGTGCTATTGCTGCTGCCACATCAATCCCAGATCTTCAAGGTAAATTTGTTTCTTCTGTTTGCTATCAACTTTTAAGAGGGAAATTAGTGAGTATTTAGATCCAAACAAATGTAACCGTTTAGTTGGATTCTTCAGCAAATATCTACCAAAACTTAGTGAAAACAAATTGGAAGATAATAGTCTGGGAGATTTTTTTAGGTATAGACCAAATATTATGGAGCTAATCAGCAAGTGAGGAAGTTATATTCTGGTTTTACGAATTATAATTGCCTTATTTCATTTTATTTTTCCTTTTTTTTTTGGGTGGGTTCCAGTAATTTGTCTTAATGGTAGAGGCCAGGTTGGAAGTTATGTGGGTCAGTTAACTGGTTGTATACGAAATAGCTTCAGAGTTTACTTGGGTGTTTTACTACAGTCGGGAAAAATGTATAAGAATTTTACTTAACATAGAACATGATATACTTGAAAGAGTGTTCTTGTAATTCCTGAATTACACAATTGCATCTCTTTTAAATTTATTTTTGTGGGTACAAAGTGACATTTGAATTTTCAGAACCTTACCGACTTCAAAGATAAACCTGACAGATTGTTCTTTTGGATCTAAAAACTAAGCTGTTTGTCCATCACGTTTCCCACTTTTATTTATCAATGAACTTCCCAGTAATCTTGCCAATGACTTTATAGTTCGAAAGCTGTTCTCACGGGACTAACATCTTCCCATTAATATCCAAATCCTTCAAAATAATGCTTCAATGCAAATGTTTTTTCCTCCCACAAACTTCGCCCCTTACTAGTTTTGTTAGGGTGCCTCTTTATTTATGCCCAACTTCTAAGTGTTCATATTCCATGTTCTCTACAGACCGGTATGATAAAATTCCCACAAGTATTGAAGCAAAGCTCTTGCCTTTTCAACGTGATGGTGTCAGGCAAGTATACTTTTATTGTGCAGTACAGGGTTCCCTGTCGTCTTAACTTCATTCTGTTACTCACTGTACTGCTCTTTTTCATCGGTATATCATTGGAATTTGCTAATTTGGCTCTTTTCAGATTTGTATTGCAGCATGGAGGACGGGCCTTACTGGCTGATGAGATGGGGCTAGGCAAGACTCTTCAGGTGTTTGTCTGTATGCCTAGATATGCTTCATTATTTTCTTTAGTCCTTTTTTTTTTTTCTTGTTTTGATTTGACTTCTCATTTTTTATCTGTACATCATCTCCCAAAAGGGAAATTCAATCTTAGTATTCTGTAGTTACTTTGCTAGTTTCACTTAGAAAAAACTAGTTGAATTGCGCATAAAATGTTATGAAACTATAGTTTTATTAGATCAAAACCATCGTTTGTTGTAGTTTGAATTATTTCTGTTAGACAGTTACTGGCTATAGAACTTTCAAATATGTACAGAAATTTCTGTTTGTATTCAACAATGGTTAGGCATTTGGCAAATCAAAATAAATCACATTTCAGGCCATTGCAGTAGCCTCTTGCATTCGTGAAGCATGGCCAGTTCTGGTTCTTACTCCGTCTTCCTTGCGCCTTCACTGGGCTTCTGTAAGTGAACTGGTTGGTATACCATTACCTAGAAATGGTTGTGCATTCACATAGAAATATATGCTGTTTTCATGCAGATGATTCAACAGTGGCTGGATATTGCCCCATCAGATATACTGGTATGCTTTTTCTGATGGTTTTTTTATTCTGTGAAGCAATCGGGTTTTGGTTAGTGGTAATTAGTCCTTTCATTAGTGTTAAATTTAACCCCAGATGCCGGATCCTCATGTGTGTGCGTGTATTTAACTGTATATCTTAATTTTTTACTTCATTGAAGTTGATCTTCTGTCATGTAATAAAGTTTAGTACCACAGATTTGATCTGTATATAACATACCGAAACCTCAAAGAAGAGGAATTTGAATTAATTGAAAGACTAAGGGCGTGCTTGTTTACAATAGAATTCACTCACATTTAATCCATACTCAAAATCTAACTCAATTTTAACTCAACCCCACTATCCTTAATATTATTCATATAATTAAATAATGCAAACCAGTTCTTACACATCACATCTCCTTTAATTCACTATTCATCTACTCACATAATTTTAACTGAATATCACTTAACATCATCTCTGCTACTTTTCAATCAAATTAACTTACATTATTTTATTTTAAATATTATTTTAATATAAACTCAAAATCCCACTATCAACTAACGATACCACCTTTTTCAAAGTGTTGTACACTGGTTAACAAAAAAAAACTCATTTTGAGCGGATTAATTTGTAAACAAGCACCCCTAAGTCATTTGGCCCTATGTATTATACTTCAAGTTGATTTATGTATACTTCTCATTGTATACTTGTAACTTGTCAAATTTAAATTGTTAAATGTCACTCTTAGCTTTGTTGGTGGATGCCATCCCATATACTTCATGGAATGTACACATTGTGATCCCACCAACTTTATGATCTAGAATATTATGCGCATGTTCTCTTCATTGTAATTCTGCAGTGCCTCATCAAATTTGCGTGACATCCTAACTATCGTTTGCTGTCTCGTACATTGTCAAACTTTGAACGTAAAGAATTAGTGTGTGTATTCTATGTACGATTAGTATGGTTTAGAATCGCATAGTTTCCTGCCTTACATCTTGTTAAACATATATTAATTTTGAGTTT